CCTGTGCTGAGGGCTTGCGCCGGTTCCTCCAGGAAGAAATCTCCTCACCTGTCCCCAAGGCGCCCCTTGGCTTGGAGCCTGGGGGTTGAAGCCTGCTCCGCCTCTCAGAAGGGCAGAGTTGAAGAACATTTGGGGCTTTTCTCGGCTTTCCTTCTAGGCAGAGTTGCTTGTTCTCATGTTAACCTGTTCTCGGGAACTGCCACTCACTAGTTCTGTGGCCTTGAACAAGCTCCTTCACCCGTCAGAAGGTCCGTGTCTTCGTCTATGTGACGGGGACAATGCTACTCCTGCCTTGAGTAAAAATTAAATGAGACCATGCCTGAAATCACCAGCCCAAGTAAGTACTCAACACATAGCAACTAGTAGTGTGTGGTCGTCGCTATGATTATTACTAGGTGCTGGAATTTTAAATCGGCAAAAAGATGGATGCGGCGAGCTGCCTTCTGGTACACTTGAGACTTGCTAAGTTTTTGCAGAGCCATGATCCCAGGTTTTTGCTACTTTTGGGATGGGCAGAACCAGATTATTTGCTTGTGAGTAATTGAGCACCAGTGATTCCCCTTTCCAATTAAACTCCGTTGCATGTGAAAACCCTCTTGCCTATCTGTCCTGTGGCACGGCCACCCAGTTCCAGCTGTGGGTAGGCAGAGGGGCTTCTCCTCCGTGTGTGTGGGACCAGAGGGACCCCACCTGGCCGGTGTTCATGGCCACCAGAGCTGAGATGGCAGGGATTTTTTTGCAGTGATGATACGCGTTGTGCGCTGTATTGACAATGTATTTTCCACCATCAATCATCGTTTTCCTTTGTTCTTAGGAAACCCCTGATGACGTCTGCTTGGGCACAATCCACAGAGAAAATGCCCCAAACCATGCTGACTCTCCCGTACCAACTCAAAATTTGGGTGACAGGTAAAAAACAACCCCTAAAAAATGGGGTGTTGTTGAAAAATGGTGGGGGTTTGCTAATCTTTGGATATGGTTTGAGCATGTCCCCCAAAGGTTTATGTTTGCTCCTTAAGGTGACACTGTTGGAAGGTGATGGCACCTTTAAGAGGAGGGGCCTAATGGGAATGATTTAGGTCATGGAGGGCACTATCCTTGGAAGGCATTGATATAATCCTGGAATGACCCTGGTTAGTTCTCATAAGAGGGTTTTTATGAGTCAGATTGACCCTCCCTGAGTTCTGGCTTCCTGTCTCATCATGTGATCTCTCTCTTGCTTGTTCACACTGTTAAACTGCTCTCGAGAACTGCTAAGATGCCATCTTCCATGAGACCCTTGCCAGAACCGTTACCATGCTGTTTTTATACTTACAGTCTCCAAAACGATGAGTTGGATTAACTTCTTTCTTTAAAGTATCCGGCCTCAGGTATTTTGTTATAGTAACAGCAAACAGGACTAATACAGAAGGAGAAGATACCCAGACCATTAGTGTGCTCTGTTGAGAATCATCTTGTTACTTTTTTTTTAGCACTTACTTTTGTGTCAGAAATTTGGAAATATTATCACATTTATTTACTTAATAACTGAAAATGGTGTGGGTTTTTGTCATGACTCTGGTGACAAGTGAGAGACTCAAACTAGCTTGAGCAATAAAGGGCTTTAGTGGCCATTTACTTATTACCCCCTTAGTGCCTCCATAAACAGAGATCTTCCAGACCGCCTCTGTCCCTCTTTCTCTTACATTCTGCCTGTGGATTGGCCACAGTCCCTAGGGCTCCCCTTCATGGGCAGGAATATGGCTGTGAGCATCTATATAACTGTGACATAGCCCCTATGGAGCCACTGTCCACCTATCTGCTGTCGGCTTCCAAGAATGGGAGGGCTGGGGTCACAGGAAACACGGTTCCAGGAAGCTTCCAGGCCTAAAAGGGTGTGGGAGGGCTCACCGTTGCCAGATCCGCTGCTCTACAGTGGTGAATCGCAGCGACTGAAATGGTCAGAATGAAGCACTGACCCTGGGTCAGAGGCTCCCAGCTGTGACCTGCTCTGGGAGGTTACTTAACGTCTCTGAGCCCACTCTCCTGTCCTGCAAAATGCGAAGACTCCTATCTACTGCCGAGGCTGCGGTGGGGGATGCACAGTCTCATCTGTGTCAGCATGCACACGGTGTCAGCATACACGTGGTGGCCTGAGCGCGGCGGCCAGCAGTGGCTCTCTCCTTCGCTCTGGCCTTCTTTAGAAGCCTCCGCCACGCCCCGTCTTCAGCATCTCCAAGCGAGCGCCGCCGCCTGGGCTCTCACCTGCCTGACTCTCGATCGCCACCTTGTGGTCATGTAGGTGACTGCAGGTTTAGTGCCGAAATTCAAAATTCAAACCAAGCCCTGATCTGTCTTGGGGATTTTGTAACAAAACGCCCCAAGGTTCAAAAAGGAGGTGAGAAATGAAAGTGGAGTGCGGCCCATGAAAAGCCACCTGGATGTTATGCTACAGAAGGGAGATGCGCCAGGAGCTGCCTGCCAGATTCTGTGCTGAGAGCCTTTTGTGCATCACAGTTGCTGATCAGAAATAGCGACTCTTGGGACCCTGATGGGGCACACCAAAGGTCTCAAGAATTGAAATGCACATTTTCTTTATCTAGAGAGTGGGTACCAAAGTTTTTGTTTGATTATTCCTGTTCAGGCCAGAAATATGTACTTTGGACAATACACAGGCTCTTGTATTATTCAGTATTTCTTAGTGTGCTGACGTGATTCCCAGCTGAACTGGAGAACAGGATGTGCCAGGCATCCCTTCCTGCCTGATTGACCCTGGTGTGCCCTGCATGGGGCACAGGCAGCACCAGGGATCTCACCTCCTGCCATGCCTGATCTTTAGATTCTAAATTCATCCTGGTGTGCCCCCCCTTCTCCATTCCTGCAGCTCCCACCTCTGAGCCTTTATTCCAGCTATTCCTTCTTCCTGGGTGACCTTCCCATCTCTGCTTGCTCCACCTTGACCTATCTTAGAAGGCTGAGCCCAATGCTCCCTGCTCCAGGAGGGGTTCCCTGATTTCCCAACCATGGACTGATGACCTGCCCTGCTTTGAGCCCTTTACATCTTCCTGGTAACTCCTTGCTCTGCCCAGGCGGATGTGGGTCATGGGGTAAAGAGCAAAGGAGGCGAACAATGCAGGGGCTGCCTCCTTATTCAGTCAAGTTCTAGGGGTTAGGAGAGTCATGAGACTTGCCCGAGACTTGTCATGAGACTTTAACCTTTCCTGAGGTCAAAGCCAGGAACAGAATCCCAGGCTGTGAGTGTCTGGGGTTAAGATCTGCCTGGGGGACATGGTGGCTGAGACAGAAGGATCACAAGGTTAAGGCCAGCCTTGGCATCTTAGTGAGGCCCTAAGCAACTTAGTGAGACCCTGTCTCAAAAAAAATAAAAAGGACTAGAGACGTGGCTCAGTGGTAAAGTGCCCTTGGGTTCAATTCCCAGTTAAAAAAAAAAAAAAATCTGCCTGGCAGAGAGTCTGGGGACATTTAGAAGCAAAATCTGGCCCTAAAAAGAGGGACTCTGGGGACAGGCCTCCTCCTGTGTCCTCTCTTGTGCCCAGGGACTCAGCCTGTATTTCCTCCCCCATCTCCTGCCTTCACCTTCTGGGCTGGGGGCCGGGGAGAAGATAGGCAGGTGCCAGGGGAAATGGATTAGCATAGCCCCCACCCCGAGCATATTTTAGTGACAGGATTTTAAATGGTTGCTTTAGGCAAGAGAGTTGGCAGCCCACTGCTAGTGAGGGGTGGAGTGTGGAGGGCCCTCTCCCATGAACCCAGGCCTGGGGCGTGGACACCAGCGCTTGGTTTAGTCCAGCCTCTGCTGTGAAGTCTGAGCTGGGCCACTTAGTTTCCCTGAGCCTCAGTGAGGCACTCTGGAGGTAGGAGAGTTTCCTTGTCCCCAGGTCCCTGGACCTGACCTTGGAGGATCAGCTCACAGGGCTGTCTTGGGGACAGCTTGAGGTGGTAGCAAGACCAAGGATTTGCAGCCAAACTTTGCTTCCAATCCCCTCGGTTTTATCATATTGAGCTGGTCACTTGCTCCTTTGACTCTTGGTTTTCCCTACTGAGTGGGGTCCTGCCTCTCAGGGTTGCCAGGGGCTCCAGTGAAACTGAAGTAAGTTGAAGTCCCTGGAGCCAAGCGGCTGCCTGAATCACCCACTGTGAATAGGGAGCCCGGAAGAGGCCGAGGGTGACGCTGCCTCTAGGGGGCGCTGGCACTCACTGGCAGAGGGAGAGGCCCTGAAGGTGGTTTCAGGTGGTCCCCACCACAGGAAAGGGGAAGTTTGCCAAGGAGCGGTCAGAAGGAGGGTGAATGAGAGGATGTGGGATAACAGGTGTGTGGACATGAGACCCACTGGCGGAGATGCACAATGAGCTACCCGTGTGCAGACAGACGCACACCTGGGGGACATCAGCCTCTCCTCTTGCACCCCATCTCAGTGACCAGTGACCAGGACGTGACCTCCGCCCGTCAGCCTCATCTCAACCCCTCCAGGCCCGACTCAGCAGCAAGACCCCAGATGGTCTGGCCCTGCCTCCAGGCCCATGGCTGCTCCCTGAACTTAGCTGTTCTTGCAGGTCACAGAGGCCTGCCGCTTGCCCGAAACACTCACAGACACCCTCACCACCCCTGTGCCCGCTGTGCCAGGCAACTGCAGGTCAAGATGGAGCTTCTCCCAGGAAGCTTTACATGATGCTCCGCCCTGGGACCAGGCTGGCTTCAGCTGTCTCTGTCCTGGAGCAGGCACCTCCCATCCCTGGTTCTCAGCTTAAGGGACCCTTCTCAAAAACCAGCTGGGAGATGGAATGACTGAATGATGTCTGTCAGGGGGTGGGACAGAGCCGGGTGGGACGAGTGCGCCCCTCTTAAGACCGAGGTGACTCAGCCATGGGCTAGGACAGGACAGAGGAGATGAGGATTATGGGATGAGGTTGGGAAGACCCTCTTCCTTGGCCTGCTGTCCCTGGCTAATGTCACAGGCAGGACTGGCTCAGCCCCCCAGCCCCCAAGGAGAGGCAGCACAGGTGTGTACAGGTTGGTTTATTTACAAATATACCGATGTCTCATCTTTTCTTGTTGTTTCCATTTCCTGCTTTTGTGGGAGGAGGCAGAAGGTGAGTGGAAGGCGGGGGTGGTGGTGTGGTAAACGCTAATAAATAATTTAACAATGACAAGTTATTAAATAAAATGTGTGTGGGGATGGCAGGGGGCAGTGAGTCTGTACACGGAAAACGGAGGGATGCCTGTGGCCTGCTCCCACGCCTGCTGTGTGGAGCCCCCGTCACCCCGGTTTGGGACAGGGGCCCCGGCCAAGAGGCTCATTGGCAATGGCACCTTCTGGTGCCACACAGAGTGCCACACCTTCCCACTCCCCCGATCCCAGGCCGCATGTGCCTGGGAGCCCCGTGAGCACTGGGCGTGAGTGTGTGTGCGTGAGCGTGGAACCCTCCCCGGGGCAGAGCCAGCCCCAGGCTGCAGAGTCCCCGCACCCCAGCTGGTGCCCAGAGCTCAAGGCCAGGGCCAGGTGGGCTTTTGCCAATCCCCTAGGCTCCTGCGTGAATGGTGAGGGGACAGACATCCAGATGAGTGGGCAGGGCAGCCTCAGTGCCAGGGGCTGCAGAACCCCTAAAGGAAAAGAGGCTGCCCCCAACCCCATGTTGGGGACCTGACCCCGGCAGGACTTGCTCATGTGGACGCGGTGCCCGGACTCTCCTCGTTCACCCCCCAGGAACCCCTCCCGGCCCCTGGCCCCCCAGCCTTCTCCTCCAGGTTCTGCTGGCCTCTCGCAACCACCATGTCCCCATCTCAGCGACCTCCATGGATCTCCTGGGATAGCACAGCAGCGGGGAGGTCGCCCTGAGCAGGCCACGGGGCTCTGGTAAGGTGGAGCAGGCGTCCTGTCTCCTCTGCACTGACTCATGCTACCTGGGGCAGGTTCCTTCCCCTGAGCTCCACTCCCAGCAGAGAAGTGGAACCTGGTCCTTCTCCAAGACACCCCTGTCTACCCCTCACTTTCTGCCTCATCCCCCCAGGAACCAGAGTTCTTCCCTCTTCCCTCGGGCTTCCTGTCCTAGCCCGGATAGTGCTCATGGGCCCACACCAGGCAGGGCTGGGGAGGTCCTGGTCACTCCTTACCCCTCCTCCATGGTGCGGGTGAACCTGCTCATCTCAGCTTGCCCCGAGCCCCAGGGCACTGAGTCTCAGGTTCCTGGCCTAAAAAAAATGGGTCCCTAATATCTGGGCATCTCCTAAGAGAGAAGCCCTCCATGAAGGCAGCAGAGGCCAGGGCTGGACTCAGGGTGGGAAGAGGTGGCTCTCTGGGCCAGCACGTTCACTCAGAACAAGGCAGGACCCTGACCTGGAGGCCAGTCACATGCCGGGGGAAGGGGGCTGGCGCAGGGCTCCTGTTTCTACCTCTGGCTCTGACACTTGCTGCAAGGCCTGGGGCAGGCCTCTCTGGGTTCAGGTTTCTAGCTGTGACATGAGGGGTGAGCTACATGACCCACTGTCGGTGATCCTTCCAGCCTAGAGGGTGTGGAGGAGAAGGGCCAGGTCTCCTGGGGGCTGGGGTGTCTTCCCCTGAATCTGCCTCAGGTGTCCTGGGCACAAGTCAGCCTGTGCCTGTGCCAGAGAAAGGGGAGGATGTCAGGAAGGGGGCGTGGCTGGCCCAGACCTAGGTGGGCAGAGGCTGCAGAGGACTGAGGATGTCCGCTGAGGTCCCTGGCAAGGTCCTTTTTGTAATGAGAAGAGCACAGAAGGGCCAGGCTGGTGGCCTCAGCCTGAATGGTGATGCTGAGCCCCATCTTTCCCTCTGACAGCTCTTGTCTGGTGACAAGCAGGATGGGGTGAGGAGACTAGAGGAACCCAGGTCTCCCCAGTAGACAGAGGAGCAAAACGGCACAGCAGGTTGGTAGACTTGGAGGATTCCAGGGGGAGCCAGGGAGAGGGGCCTGAAGGTGGGGGGAGACCCCTCGTCATCCTCATTTGCTCCAAGGTGGGACTTGGCAGACCTTAGGGTGGTGGCCTTGGGCTAGACTTCAGATTTAAAGGCAGGGTTGTGAGCACCTGGACAAGGACACAGAGGTCATGGGGGCTCTTTGAGGACCATCAGCTTGCCCTTCCTTCCTCCTCTGACAGGATGGAGTTGAAGGGACGGGGCAGGGGCATGGATACCAGGGTGCCCGGATTCCATCACCCAAGGAGGACTGGTTTATGGGCCAGTGCTGAACGGGGACAGGCTCCCATGGCCCTCCTGCCATTCCTCTAACGGGCAGAAGTGTCCAGGGGGAGGGAAAGTCAGTGGTCACAGAGTTGGGTTGCAGAGGAAACCGCACAGGTTGGCTGAATCAAGTAAGAGGAAATGCAACCAGAAACAAGCTGGGGCCCTCTAGGTGTCTAGACAATGAATGTCCCCTCCCATCCCACCTGCTCACAGAGAACAGGTGTCGCTTAGTCATCACATGTGTGCAAAGCCTGGGGGGTTTGTGACAGAGGGGCAGTGTGAGTTTCCAAGGTCAAGGGGCCCAAACCACTCAGGCCACATTAGCCAGAAGGGGTCCTGAAGTAGGGAAGGCCGTGGGCCTGCTCACGGTGGGCCTGCGGAGCGTGGACTTATGGCTGCCCACACCTTCAGAGGGAACGAGTGCTGCAGCCCACCCAGGGCGCAGCTTTAAGAGAAAGAGCTGGAGAAGGCTGGTACTGGGAAGCGAGGACTAGGGACTGGGAGACCAGAAGCTGACCAGCAGGAAGGCCACTGGCGGGTGCTAGTCACTGGAGGCATGTGAGGAGGGCAGAGGAGGCTGAGAGGGAGCCAGGTACCAGTTGGCATGCCCAGCAGGCGACTTTAGAGTCCCTTTCCACCTGGAAGTTCTGCTGTTCGGCCCGACTCTCCCTGTGCCAGGGACTCCAACTCTGACCTTGGAGTTGGCTGGGTCTTGGGCTGACTCACCTGGGCCAGGTGAGGGTACACCTGGGCCTACACATCTCAAACCCAACCCTGCCTCTCCTCTTCCTCCCTCTCCAATTGCTCTTGAGAAGTCCCTGTCCCTCATGGCCCCCTTTCCCCTTCCGACAAGGCAGACCCACAGAACATCCCTCCGCCTCTTTCAGCAGTTCTAAGGGTGTGTATGTGTGTGTGTGTGTGTGTGTGCGCACACGTGTATTTTGCATGGGGGGTGCCTGTAGGTATGCATGCATTTGCATGTGTGTCTGTCCCTTTGGGTCTGCCTGTCACACCTGCTGGGCTCCTCCCCACTTCCCTCCAGGCTCCGGCTGGGGGAGTGGTCCTGGGCTACCTGGGACCTCAGAAGTGGCCCCTGTGCTCACTGGAGGGAAAGACGGGCACAGTGCGGGCGCTGGTGCCCACGGCTCTCAGGTACCAGGCACTGACTGTGTCACATCATCATCGTCCTGGGGTGACATGGAGGGGGGGGCATGGAGGTTGGCTGGACACAGAGAGGACGTTTAAAAAAATAGAGAGAATTTACGCTTCCCAAAAAAGAGATGGGGAGGGAGAAGGCGATGGAGTCGAGGTGGGGCTGGGAGGCGAGTGGCTGTCCGAGAGCTCTGGGTCCCTGGGGGTGACAAGGTCTCTGTGGGCAGGACACAGCTCCTGCCCAGGCTGCGCCCATCTGCCTGTCCGGCTGTGCCCAGCGGACACGTGCGCCAAGCCCGGCCGGCTGAGGGGAGGGCACCGTATGGCTGTCGGTAGAGTCCGTGTGGGCGGCAGGCCAGGGCCGTGTGGAGGCTGCTGAGGCCAGCGTTCTCACCCCAGGCCCTGTGCCCAAGCGTCCCTGGGGCCCAGCTGGCTCTCAGGAGGCGAAGTAGGAACTCTGCATGGAGTAGAGCCGGTCGATGGGGTTCCCCACTCGGGCCTGCAGGGAGCCCACGTCTGAGGAGCCCAGGAAGCAGTCGCTGAGGCTGGTGAGGGAGGTATCGCTGTCGATGTCATGGAAGATGGAGTCGTTCCCTGGGGGACAGGAGGGGCGTCAGGACCAGGTGCAGGCAGGGCTCCTGCGGGCCCCATCATCCCTGCAGGCTCTGTGGCCAGAGGCCAGGAAAGACAGGACGGCCTACCGGCCAGTGTGTAGCCAGAGACTGGGGCGCTGGCCGTCAGGAGGGAGCAGGTGGCTGGGTTGGCCTGGGCCCCTGGGCAGCAAGTGGACATCATGGCCCCAAGCCTGCCTGGCCAGGCCGGGGTCGGGGCAGTGCTAGGGCAGCGGGGGTTGGGCGGCTTACCATAGGGGTTCATGTGGTCACCTGGCATTTGGGGTGGCGTGAGGCCCTGCTGGAAGGGGTCGCTGCTGCCGTAGGGACTCTGCTCCATGGCCACGATCTGCTGCTGCGGCGGGGCCAGGGGCGTGTAGGAGGCCATCATGCCCTCCATGCGGCTTGACAGGACCTCTGGGGACAGTGCATACCTTCACCAGCTGGCCGGGCAGCTTCCGCAGATGTCCCCAGGGGTCCCTTATGACCTCCTCCGGGCTGCCCAGGGGCCCGTCTCCGGCCTAGACAACCCATACGTCAGACTCCCCAGCACCATACCTACTATGGCTCCAGTTCCCTTCCAGGATCCGGGCCCCACCTGGCCTTCCCCACCTGGCCTTCCCCACCTGGCCCTCCCCACCTGGCCTTCCCTACCTGGTCTTCCCCACCTGGCCTTCCCCACCTGCTCTGCCCGCCCCCAACCCCAGCTCAAGGTCCTCAGGTGGCCAGGGTGGCGGAGCCTCATCAGACAATAGCAATCCCACCTGGCCCTGCGTCTGGGAGCACCAGAGAGGCCCAGGAAGGCGTCTGGAGGGAGGAGCCCCAGCCCAGAGTGACCCAGAGAGCCCCTGAGGAGGGGCACGCCAGGCTGGGGCAGGGAGCAGCCGCCAAGGGCAGGATCGGAAAGTCCCGTCTGTGGGGTGGGCGTGGGGAGACAGGGGCCAGCGTGGGAGGCAGCTGGAGGGCGGGCAATCGTGGGCGCGCTTTGGGGGCTGAGCTGAGTGTCCCTTGAGGACATCAGGAGTGAGGGATGGTCTCTGCAGGGAGCGACTGTGGGGAAAGACTGGGGGGCAGACACAGGCACTGCCCAGCAACTGGGGGGACAGGAGTCAGGAGGGGTCCCGAGAATCTCTGTCGAGGTCATTATGGGAAAGGCAGCTCTTTGGAGGGGACATCAAGGACAGGAAACCCTTCCCTGACCGGGGACAATCAGAAGCAGCCAGGGCGGGAAGGAGGTTGGGGTGGTGCCTGATTGTGGGCAGCCACGTGGAAGAACACAGGGTGTGACGAGCGGGGGGCCTGGGACTTTCTCTGGGAGGGTGGGAGGGTGGTGGGGCTCACCTTGGCCCAGCCGCTGGGAGTTCTGCTGCTCCTGCTGCTGCTGGTGCCTCCGCGCCAGCTTCTTCATCTGCAGGGAGTGTGGGTCAGGCCTGCCCGCCCCGCACTCCCCCACGCCCCCACCCGCCTCCCTGCCCCCACTCACTCCCAGCCCCCCACGTCTGGGCCCCAGGAGCACCGGGGGCAGGAAGTGGCCTCTCACCTTTGCTCTTTGGTTCTGAAACCAGACCTGGACCACGCGGACGCTGAGGCCTGTCTCAGCTGCCAGCGTCTCTCGGACCTGGCCCAGAGAGAGGGAGACAGGTCAGGCCTGCAGGGACAGCTGGGAAGGGACAGCTGGGTGGGGGGTCGGGGAGGTGAAGGGCCATCCTGCCCCCAGCAGGAGCAGAGGCGGTGGGGCCTGGATGGGCAGCAGGGCAGCGGGTCTTGGCCCCCGCCCGGCCCACCCCAGCCGCCACTCACCTTCCGGCAGGGCTTGGACGAGACCTCAAAGGAGGCCTTGAAGGCTCTTCGCTGTTGCGTGGTGAGGATGGTCCGGGGTCGCTTGGGTCTTCGTGGGTCCTTCCCATCGTCCCCGCTGCCCTTGCTCTGGCTGCCCTGCCCCTTGGCCGGCTTCATGTCCCCATCCTCGTCCTCACTCTTCACTGTGGGGGACACAACCCAGCCTGTCAGGTAGGGCTGAGGGGCAGTCCTAAGTCCTAGCTTGTAGCCTCAGGTGACAAAGGTGACATGACACCTGACAAGATCCCATCTCCACCTGCTGACACCTGCTATGGGTGCCCAGCACCCAGGGATCAAGAGCCCTCCTTCCCAGCCGGCAGCCTGCCTTGCCGGGTCCCAGACGCACAGGGTGTGCTCACATTCGCACGCAGGGCAGGTCTGCTGGCCTCTTAGGGCTGAGGGACACCCTTAAGACAGAGGATGGCATCTGTGGCCCAGGCTGGCCCTGGACTGCCCCCAACCCATCTTGCCTTGGACCCTCCTTATCCTGTGGACCTCTGTCACCCTAGAGACCTCAGCCCAGCATGCTGCCTTCAAGAGAAGTCTCCGCTGCACTAGCCGAGTGCCCGCTGGGTGTGGGGTGATAAGAGGAGAACACAAGGGGCCTTCTTTCTTGAAGCTTCCAGGGACTAAGACTCGACTGACAAAGGACATGTACCACACGTCCTCACGCCAGAGTACGCATGGCAGTGGTGTGCATGTGCATACACGGAGGAACACTCACTCTCTGACACGCACATGCAGATTAGCAATTGGCCCACAGCAGCCCGTGCCCATGCCGCTCACAGACACAGGCCGGGGCACATGCCACAGGCAGGGACACATAGGCCTGCAACACTGATCATGTGATTCATGATCACACATGCGGCGTGAAAAGCGTGTGTTCACCCAGCCACACACCCACACCACAGGCATGTGCAGCACTTCCGTTCCCCTGAATACTGGGCTGCAGCGATGCCAGCCCCAATGGGCAGCCGAGCCTCCCCACCCGCCTACCGCCAGGCCACCTGCTGCCCTCGCCTGAGCTGGGCTCTCTCCTCCAGGCCTGTCTTTCTCAGATCATGAGCCCTGTGGAGGGGCCGGTCTCCCCTCTCCCAGGCCTGGCACGAATGGGCAGTGGCACAGCCTGGCCTCTGCTCCTCAGGGGGAGCTTGGCAGCCACAGGAGGAGCTGTGGTGATGCCCTGCCCAGGGAAGACAGCGACAGAGGGAGAAGAGCCCACTACCTCCGCCAAGGCCCTCACAGTGACAGACCCCTGTGCATGCAGATACCGTGACTGTGGGGCTCAGGATGCCCCTGAGGGGGCCAGCCACCTCCCCAGCCTTTTGCACATTATACAGTTTGTGCACGTGTCTGTGTGTGCACGTGGGCAGTGGGTGGGAGTATGTGCACAAACACACAAGTGCAGCCATGAGTGCCTGGCTGTGTGTGTCCGAGTGTGTACGCCTGTGTGTACCTGGGTAGGGTTTGCATGTTGGACGCGTGATTACATATTCACACCTATATGCATGTATGTGCGTTCGTGCTCCCAGGCGTGCCTGTGTGTGTGCAAGTGTGATCACATGCTCGTGTCTGTAGGGTCATGTGATTCAGGGCCAGTGTCCGGGTGCATTTTGAGCCCGGGTGGTGTGCACGGTAGTGTCCGTGTGCTTGTGCGGCGTGGGTGTGTTGTCCTTGCGTAGCTCAGGTCCCTGCTGAGGAGCTGGCCTGGCCGCCCTCACCACACCAGCCCGGGGGACAGCACTCACCGGAGTCGGACTCGTCGGGGCTCACGGAGCTGAGCAGGTCCTTCTCCTTCTCGTAGTCGCCCTTGCACAGCAGCTGGCCTTCCTTGAGCACAAACTCGTCACCCTTGCGCAGCTGCCGCTCGCACACGCAGCAGCAGAAGCAACCCAGGTGGTACACGCACTCCAGCGCCCGCATCACGAACTCGGTGGGTGCGATCTTCTCCATGCAGCCACTGCACTTGGCTGCGAAGAGCCTGCCAGTGCACAGAGTGGGCGTGTCGGCCGGGCCCAGGGTCTCCCAGAGGCCACTGCCTCCAAGGACCTCTCCCTCCTGCCACCCAGACCCCCAGGCCCACATGGGACAGACCCTCCTTGGCACAGGGACAGGCAGTGGGAGGGCCCTGCAGGCCTACTCTTCTGCCTGGCAGGTTCAAGTGACCCAAGGTGCGTCCTGGCCTGGGTGCATCTGCTCAGGGCTCGTCCACCCAGAGGCATGGTGGCCACTAGAGGGCAGTGTGTAGGGTCAGTCCACCTTCCCCAGAGCAGGGTGATTGGGGGCGAGGGTCCCACCCATCCCAGTTCCCTGACCTACTTTGCCTCCTCCCTACTCCTCCCTCAACCCCACATCCGTGCATCCCTGATCCTGTCCAGCCTTTCAGCCTCGTGCCCTCCCCTGCCTAAGTAGCTGCCCCAATCCCCTCCCCAGGCTCCTGGCTCCTCTAACCCCTCAACCTTCTCTCACCTGACCCCCCAACACAGGATCCAGCAGGATCTTTTTAAACACATGTCTGATCTTGCTGCTGCCTGCTCCACCTTCTTCCCGGCTCCCTAAGTCCCTTAGAAGAACATCAAGCTCCCAACTTGGTGATCAGGGGCCCCATGGTCCTGCCTCCTCCTTCACCACCTTCTGTGCTTCACAGAACAGCTGCTGTTTCTCCAAAGTGCCATCATGGTGGCCTTTCGACAGGCTCTTTCCTGTGCCTGGGTTTGACTGACGTCTTATTAACCTGGTTTCAGCTCAGGCGTCGCCACGGTGGGGGTTGGGGCAAGCACACCGCGGCAGCCATTTTAGCATTTTAGCAGACAGGAGATGAGCCCCCGGAAACAAACCTATGGGGCAAGAACCTGAACTGGCCCCATTTTAGAGATGGGGACACTGAGGCCGTGAGGGGAGCATCGGAGCCAGATGGGTAGTCAACATGGGGGCCACCCCCAGCCTGGACTTGATCCAGTCCCTCCATGACAGAGTGGCTCCTGCACCCTGGCGAGGGTCTCTGCCTCTGGCTGGGGGGCTGGGCGACAGGCCCCTCCTCTGCTGGCTGCTGACCGCTCCCCCCGACACCCCCCCTACCCATCACGCGCCCTGCTCTGTGGGAACTCGGCCTCAACAACACTTTGATGGAAAAATTTATGAAGAATCAAATTATTGCTGCTGGGAGGGAATTAAAACCATTTTTCATTCCCTGCGTCCCCGGGCCACGTCTGCAGGCGCCACCTTGGGAGCGCTGTGCGCATCCCATCCCTCTTTATGGCCCGCCATCGCGGGCAAGGATTACAGCTGCAATTCTCCACTAATCGGCTCTGGAACAGGAATGGCCATAAATGTGCGGCTCTGGGCCTGCCACCCTTCCCGGGGCTGCCATGCACCGCCCACGGCGAGCCACTGGGGTGCAGTGGACAGGGCCAGCTTGAGCTCTGCCTGCTGTCCTAGCACTGACCAGGACGCTCAGCTTGGAGGCACCTCCAGGTTCTCCGGACACCCACCTCTGTTCTTCCCGGTGGGCTCCTACTCATCCTGCAACGCCCAACTCCAATGCCACCTCCTCTGGGAGGCCTTCTCTGATGCCCCATCTAGGGGAAGCGGCCTCCTCTGTGCTCCCCTGAGCTCTCCTCTGGCCTCAGCTCACTCTGTTGTAAAATGGGACATCAACAGGACCTCCCTCCGATACGTGGCCAGGATGTGATGATCCTGAGCACATAACCCCGTAAGCATCACCGTGGAGTGGCCACGCACTCTGAGGGTGCCCAACTCTACTGGGGTCCTACGAAGCAGGGCCTGGCTCCACCAGATCCTCAAGGAGGCCCCTGCATGTTTGAGGAGTTTGCGCGGCTCAGGCTGAGCTCTGTACTCCAGGCAAGCGGCCGCCTCCAGCTCACACACTGCAGGTTTTGCAAGGGGCACACCAGCTGGGTCTCAGCTCCAGCTCTATCCTTTGGCTGGATATTCTTGTTCAGAGCACAACCTACTCAACTGTCCGTGGCAGCTGCAGGGCACCTCAAGGATTCTGGCTGACCAGCCAGCCACCTCTGCTAAGGACTTGAAGAAGCAAATGACGATGGAGGATGCTCCTGCCCTGTGTCCCTCCCTGGCCCTCTGTACCTGACCGAGGGACCCCCACTGATGTCCGCAGGCTGCCCTTGGGCAGACAGACACAGGTGGAGTCTTTGCAGCAATGGCAGGGCCAGGTCCCAGGCCAGGGTCAGCACATCTTGGGTGGCTCCCAGAGAGGAGACCTCCTTAGGCTGGGGGTGGGGGTGCATTTGCGGTCGAATCCACCATGCTGGCTGTTGAGAACAGCGCGCTAATGCCTTGGCAGCAGGGGGTGGATTGCTACTTTCTCCAAACTCATCAACACAATCTATTATTAATACTTCTCCAAAGGCTCGGTGCCGCCATTACGGAGGCAGCGCCAGCCACTCGGGGCGTCATCTGTTATCTAGATTGCAAAAACCCGGGAAATAAAACAAACGGCATGCACTTTATAAACGGAATGTGCCATCCGTTTGGTCTCCAAGCATCTCTCCACCCAATAAAACATCGGGGGGGACGCATGAAATACTCACTCCCAATTATGGGGCTGCCTTTGTCTATGCGCAGTGCTGGGGTGAGAGCTGTTAACGGGGGGTGGGAGGGGTTGGGGGCACCAGCGGCTCCCCTCCTCTCCGTGAGCCCCATTCCCTCTCTCTGATTCTCCCACCATGGAGGGCCTGGAGCAACCAGCCCCCGGGAGGTGTGAAGAGGCAGGCCAGCCACAGGCAGGGGGCCCCCCCGCAGTGAGAGAACGTGAGGGTCACACTGGCTCTCCCACTTGCTGACTGGTGACTGGCTCTTACTGAGCCTCAGTTTACTTGTCTGTATAATGGACTCAACACCACTGCCTGCTTCTCAGCACAGAGAGGCAATGAGTTCACTGTTAGCGTAAAACAGTGAGCACAGAGGGCAGAGCCTGGGGTCCATCCCGGGCAATGGCTCTACCTCTGAGCTACATACCCAGCCCCTTTTAATTTTTTTTTTTTTATTTTGAGACAGGTCTCCCTAAGATGCTGAGAGTCTTGCTAAGTTGCCGAGGCTGGTCTTGAACTTATGATCCTCCCGCTTTGACCTCCAAAGTCACCGGGATCACAGGTGTATGCTCGGCAAGTTGGATGCATTCAAAGCCTTTTGGTTCTGTGCTAGTATGGAGGAGGCTTTCGCCAATATCTGCCCTTCTTTTGTCTCACTTGTATCCCAAATGTCTGCATGGGTCACCCCTGCGGGGTCTCCATGATTCCTGGGGCCTTCATGACACTGGGGGGGTTTTCCAGTCCCAGCTTCTGTGCCCCCTGGGTGGGCTGACCTTTCCAGCTTCTGTCTGGCCTGATCTGGGTGGAGCACCCCTGGCTTCAGGATCTGGGGGGTCTCATTAGCATTCCGGAGGAGTGCTCATGCTCAGAGATCATCCCCCTGCGTCACCTTCTTAAGTCCCCAAAGGACCCCAAAAGGAAGAGCTATCTCATCACCGTTTTATAGATGAGCACACCAAGGGCAGAGGCAGGCTACTCCTTCAAGGTCACACCCAGCCTCCCCAGCCTCCCTCCCTGCCCTGGGAATCCCAGGGTGTCCTGCATTCTGGGGACCATGCCTGTGTCTGTGACTGTCCTGGGAGGGGCCCGATAGACCCCAAGTGCTTACTACTCAGAAGGTGGGGCTGAGTGTCCGGGGTTTTTTGAAAAACAAACAAACTGAACATCCCGACACACGCACACGCGCGCACACACACACACACACGCATCTTCTGTGCGGTTGCTGTCCCTCTCCTGGAGGATCATCTGGGATTGTGGGGCAAGACATTCCATCTGTAGGGACATCCCTCCCTTGAAGAGTCCCAGGCTGTGAGATCACATCTCCAGCTCTTCTCAGTTTTTATTGGTTTATTTGTTTAATGCTCAATTTATTAAACTCATAAAGCTAATAAACAAAACTCTGAAAACCGTTTCTTCAGGAGCATTCATACATGGATTACAGATCTGATTCATTTCTCCTAAACCACAGATGACTGCGGAGATACAGGAGTTCTGGGGATCCTTGGGCCCCCCGTGACCCTGGCTTCCTAAGGACACTCTGAGCAGTCTTCACCCCAGATCTGAGTGTCCAGACGGCATGCACTGGGCTTGGGATCCTGGCTCTGTCACTTCCTAGGGCTGGGACTTTGTACAAGTCCCTTCTCCTCTTGAGCCTCCGTGTCCCCGTCTGAGGAATATGATAGAGGCGCCTGACTGGGTTAGGCACAGGGGATGGGCGCATGGTTGCCATTTCCCTCTCTCATCTCAACATTCCTGGCACCCATGCACCTTTCTTGCTAGGTGGATGCTTCCTGTCTCCTCCGCATGGGGTTACCATTTGCTTATCCCAGCACTGCACTTTACAGTTGATAGAGCCCTTCGTTGAATTCCCGGAATAACCCCCACTCCAGGTTCATCCTCTACCTTCAGTGGGCCTCCTCCACCCCCCCCCCCAGCCTCAGTGGTGATTCCCACCCCCCACCCTTCTAACCACCACACTGACCCACCCGATGGGCACCGATGCTTCTTATTCCACAAAAATAGGCTTGGTCTTGCCGCCTTGCTGTTGTTAGAAAGTGTCCCCCAAAAACCACATGTTTGGGCCCCAGCCCGAGATGCTCCTGGGAGGTGGTGGAACCTATAGGAGGGGGGCTAAGGGAAGGAAGTTATTGGGGGTGTGCCCTTCAAGGATATTGGGACCCAGCCTTCCTTTCTCTGTGTTTCCTGGCTGTCATTAGGTAACAGCCACCAACTCCTGCCATGAGGGCCGAGCAACCGTGATCTGAAGCCTCTGACACCCGAGCCACAAATATACTTATTTTCCTCTTTGCAAGTTGATTATTCAGGCATTTTGTCACAGCCACAGAAAACGGACACATCAAGTCAAATCAGACTTCAAACCCCTTTGCTTCAGGATGTCTAAGAACAGCCA